AAACACGTTGTAGCAACGCCCTTTTCCTCGAAGACAAGTTTGAGGCCTCTACAGGTCTGTTGAAAATAGCTGTCGTGGTTCATTTTGTCTCCTTCCTCACCCTGCCCCTTGTGTTGGTTCGTTACTGCTACAAAGTATGCATACTAGGCCTTGCGGATAACGACGGGATAGCCGACCGTGTGGCTTACGGTGAACTTGTGAAACTCTACTACTTTGACTACATGATGTTTGCGTTCATGACCGTGCCGCACCTGTCCGGCTTCTTCCTCTACCACTTTACACCTGCCTTTGACTTTAGCCCAAGCACGTTCTCTTATAGGGTAACTTTCTATCTCTTCGCACTCTATCCCACGATCTATCCGTTGTTTTCAATGCACCTCCTACGAATATTCCGCAATCCGCTAAGTTACTCAAAGGATGAAACCAAGGCAGAGGATGAAGCCGAGACAGAGGATGAAGCCAAGAGAGAGAGCTAAGTCAGGGTTAAGATTTCCATTTCTTCGAAAAAGTCATCGGCGAGTAAATTAAAAATGGAGGCAGCGGATGAGGAAAGTGGTAAAGAGGAGAAAAAGAAGTAAAACAAGCCTAATTGTTTCGAGTTGTATAGCGCCGAGAGTTCTCAGTATACGTCTTGCAAACCAACTTTTCTCTGTCTTCTATTTCATAGTATACTTCATGCAAGCACCTAAAATACGACTAAAGATATCTTTTGTTCAGCTTAGCCACACAGAATTAGGCCACAGCAGTATGTAGTGCTTTTGTCGGCTGTGATGTCGCCATCGTTTGTCTGCACGCCTTTCGTATAGCTAGGGTTTTACGCTTAAACAAACTAACCTTTGAGGTTTGTCATGCTTTTTGAACATTTTAATCGCTGCATGAGTTAAACTGTTGTAAGTATAGCCAAAAGCTGTGCTATCACTGTCTAATTACGCCTTGTGTGAGTCCCCGTGAAGAACACAGCAAGAAGAGCACAAAAGTAGAAGTCCTTTTTGCATACCTTGTACACCGTACTTTTAGCAAGCAAAGCGCACAAGATTGGCCCAATCAGATTCTTGTCTCGAGTGAGGAGCGACTGCATTGGCTTTGTGACTTATCCAACTGGCGTGTTAGAGTCCTCAGCCTGTCCGCAGCTGTGCGGCCTCGCGTGTACTGCGTGTAAGCGGACCGGTTGTATGGCGTGAGAACGACTCGTCAGAGCTGTGTGCGCACGCGGTTAAGTTGGGCTCTGACATGAACAACACTGAAGAAGTTGTCCGCGTAAGGTAAACTAGCGTTTTTTCTCATCCTGGCGATGCAATAAATGGTCGTCGTTCTGCATATTATTCAGTCGTGTACTCCAGCTAACTGGGTGGGGGCGAGGACTTGCCTACTAGCTTATCCCTCTGAGTTCGGGTACGATTTAGAGCCGCCCTGTGGTGACTGATTAGCATAGCTGGCAGGTATGGTTAGCTCATACCTAGAGATGATGCTGGACACTACGACATTCGGGGTCCGAGAATGGATACCAACTCTACTTAGGCAGATAGTATTGCCGGCAAAGGCAAGGGAGACTGGAATGGTCATCTTGTCGTCAGCCAGTCATACCCAGCCCCAAGTGGTGCACTACCCGAGGCTCGAACTCGCGATCCTTTCGCCCAGAGTCTAAAGCTCTAACCATTGAGCCACGAGCTCTTTGTCTATTATCCTAAGACTAATAGCCTCTACCGTTGCTGTCAAGGCCCGAGAAATGAGGCCCATGTC